AAATAATGTCAGAAAACGTCCCTAACCTGGTAAAGGAAAAAGTCACACAAATTCAGGAGGTACAGAGAGTCCCAAGCAAGAAGAATCCAAAGAGGCCCATGCCCAGACACAACATAATTAAAATGCCAACAATTCAAGACAAAGAGAGAATCTTAAAGGCAGCAAGAGAAAGGCAATCTGTTACCTACAAAGGCGCTCCCATAAGGCTGTCAACTGATTTCTCATCAGAAACTCTACACGCTAGAAAGGAATGGCATGAAGTATTCAAGGTAATGCAAAACAAGGTTTTGAAACCAAGAGTACTCTATCCAGCAAGGAGGGTGAAATAATGAGCTTTCCAGACAAAAGAAAGGCTAAAGGAGTTTATCACCACCAAACCAGCACTGCAAGAAATGTTAAGGAGACTGCTATAATAAGTTGCAATAGGCAGAATGAGAAACATAGGCATATAGACATAAAATGGCAATAGGTAAGTAGCTATCAAAAAATAACCTTAAATATAAATGGATTAAATAACCCAATTGAATGACACAGGGTAGCCGAATGGATAAGAAAACAAGACCCAGGGTCTCAAACAAGATGGCAGCACAGGTGACCACTGTACCCACTCCCTCCCACAACCACATCAAAATTACAACTAAAATACAGAACCACCACCACTAAGAACCTCCTGAAGTCTGGCTGAACGGAATTCCTACGACCAGGGAACTGAAGAAGCAACGAGACTGGTAGGAAGAGCAGAGATGCAAGTGGACTGGGACGGAATCACAGAGACAGCCTCAGTCCCATACCCAGGTGCTGCAGATTAAAACTGGGAAGATTATCTTAGCAGTGGAGGTTTCCCGGAGGACTGAGGGATCCCAGCCCCACAAGAGGCCCCCCAGCCCAGGGTTCCAGTGCCGGGAAGAAAAGTCCCACAACTTCGGGCTGTAAAAACCAGCAGGGACTGTTGCTGAGGGACCCAGAGGCTGCGGGAGTCCCAGGCTTTCCTCTTACAAGGCTAGTGCACGAACTTACTCAGATGCTCTCCCTCTGAGCTCCAGTGCTGGGCAGCAGCTTGAAAGGAACCTGGGACATTTGGGGAGGAACTAACTTGCCTGAAATCGGGGCAAGAGGTGGAGAGGCAGTTTTTTCCAGACAGAAGAGCTGGCAGAGGCCATTGCTCCTTTGGCGAGCCCTCCCCNGGAGACTGCTATAATAAGTTGCAATAGGCAGAATGAGAAACATAGGCATATAGACATAAAATGGCAATAGGTAAGTAGCTATCAAAAAATAACCTTAAATATAAATGGATTAAATAACCCAATTGAATGACACAGGGTAGCCGAATGGATAAGAAAACAAGACCCAGGGTCTCAAACAAGATGGCAGCACAGGTGACCACTGTACCCACTCCCTCCCACAACCACATCAAAATTACAACTAAAATACAGAACCACCACCACTAAGAACCTCCTGAAGTCTGGCTGAACGGAATTCCTACGACCAGGGAACTGAAGAAGCAACGAGACTGGTAGGAAGAGCAGAGATGCAAGTGGACTGGGACGGAATCACAGAGACAGCCTCAGTCCCATACCCAGGTGCTGCAGATTAAAACTGGGAAGATTATCTTAGCAGTGGAGGTTTCCCGGAGGACTGAGGGATCCCAGCCCCACAAGAGGCCCCCCAGCCCAGGGTTCCAGTGCCGGGAAGAAAAGTCCCACAACTTCGGGCTGTAAAAACCAGCAGGGACTGTTGCTGAGGGACCCAGAGGCTGCGGGAGTCCCAGGCTTTCCTCTTACAAGGCTAGTGCACGAACTTACTCAGATGCTCTCCCTCTGAGCTCCAGTGCTGGGCAGCAGCTTGAAAGGAACCTGGGACATTTGGGGAGGAACTAACTTGCCTGAAATCGGGGCAAGAGGTGGAGAGGCAGTTTTTTCCAGACAGAAGAGCTGGCAGAGGCCATTGCTCCTTTGGCGAGCCCTCCCCCCACATAGCAGGCAGGCAGCAGCCATATTTGAATCTCCAGCACCTGACTCACACCTTTGGTCCCACCCTGGTGACTCGGGAGACCCCACCTCTCCCTACTTGCAAGCTCATCCAAGCCATTTCCAGTGGCTTTTCTATGCAAGCGGTCTTTTGAACCTCATGCTTAGGGCTTTCCCAAAATCACTCAAACAAGCAGCAGCATGCCCCATACGTCTTGATAAGTGGCCCCAGGCCTGGCACTAGTGGCAGCCTGCATTGGTTCATAACTTGGCCTCTCCTGGACACCTCTAAGCCCAGCACAAGTAGCAGCCAACTGCTGTTTGCTGTGTAGCTCATGCTGGGTGGCGCTGGGCAAGGCACTGGCAGAGGCTGACTTTGCGCCTCCTTGGAGGACCCAGAAAATGCACCTGGTTGTCAGCTTTGACCATGATGGATTACAACCCTACCACATCCACAAGTGACACACTCAAGGGGCTTACTTGGTGAACACCAAAGCTCCACTGAAGTAAATCCTGCTCCGTAGGGGTGTCTCAAGTACAGCAGTTCTTTGGCTGTAGTTGCAGCTGGTCCTCACAGCTGACTGGCCTCGGGGTCTATTCCTCCCAGGGATGCCAACAGCAACCAAGGCTCAACTACAACAGGACAGTGCACACAGCCCACACAGGGGAGCACCTAGAAGGCCCAGCTCAGGTGACTGGGGAGGCTGAGCCACTGGACCCTACAGGACACCTANTATCTACTACACAAAGACACTCTACAAATTCTAGGAGACATAGCAGCTCTACCTAATACATAGAGACAAACACCTGGAAGCAGCCAAAATGTGGAGGCAAAGAAACATGTCACAAAGGAAAGAACAAAAGAAATCTCCAGAAAAAGAACTAAATGAAATAAAACGAAGCAAGCTAACAGATAGAGTTCAGAATAATGGTTATATGGATGCTCAAGGATTTTAATAAGACTATTAAGAAAACTAGTGAGCCCGGCCGGGTGTGGCTCAGCGGTTGAGCATCGACCTGGGATCCAGGAGATCAGGGTTCGGTTCCCGGTCAGGGCACATGCCCAGGTTGCGGGCTGCAGCTGATCAATGACTCTCTCATCATTTGAGGTTTCTATCTCTCTCTCTCTCTCCCTCTCCTTTCCTCTCTCTGAAATCAATAAAGATATATTTAAAAAAAAAAAAAGGAAAGAAAACTAGTGAGATCATCGACGACATAATAAAGTACTAATCAGAAATGAAGTCTACATGAACTGAAATGAAGAATAATTTACAGGGGATCAACAGTAGAGGACACTGAGAATCAAATCAGCAATTTGGAATATGAGGAAACAAAAAATACCCAACCAGAAGAGGAAAGAGAAAACAGAATCCAGAAATATGAAGATAGTGTAAGGAGTCTCTGGGACAACTTCAAGTGGCGCAACATCTGTATTATTAGGATGCCAGAAGGAGAAGAAAGAGACCAAGAAATTGAAAATCTATTTGAAAAAATAATGACAGAAAACTTCCCCTA